AAAAACAGAAAGAGGAGATAGATTTTTTCTGTAAAAAACTTTCAAAAATGACCATTTTTGACATTTTTTCTTCCGGAAAACGACCATACATGAATCTATAACCACTAATTAATTTTTTAAGAATCATTTGAATCATCTTGGAACTCCACGAAATCAGATAAAAAATTCTGAAATTATGGTTTTAGACCTGCAATTGTGATCGCGCCAAACTTTTTTTCTGTAGATCAAAAATTAATTTGCAGTTCGGAATTGTTCTGTGGGAGAGCGTGCACGACGGAAGGTGGTGATAAATTAAATCAAATTAATTAAAAACTCTAATTTTCAATTTTTTTCAAATTTCGCGAACTTCAGACACAGAAAATTCTGAATTTCGGAATTTCCTGTTTTTCAATCTTGCAGGATCAACTTTTGAATCCTCATTTTTAGTGGTTTTGATTTTTGAATTTTTTCGTTTGGAACTCAGAATTATTCAACTTTTTTTTTCAAATTCAAAAAACAGAAATGATAAAGCCTCAAACTTATTTATTTACTTGACATAATTCGAAATATATAAACGGTTGAAAAAATAAATTATTTCTCCACTGGTCTTGTGAGTAATGGACCATCGTACCACGCATCAACCGTCTCAATATAGTGCTGAGCAATCTGAAAACAATTTTTTTCAAAAACTCTCTACACTCCATGGTTACCCCAGCTCGTTTAGCAATACAGAAGAATTGAACAACTTCCACAGCTGAATTCAAGTCAAGTTTCGGAAAACCGCCATTCTTCTCTGTTTCGAGAATATTGCCAGCAATATGAAGACACTCTGGAAGTGGTTTGTCCAATCCCAGATTCACCATTTCGTCTTGCAGTTGTTTCAACGTCCACGGTGCTCGGATTTGGTGGAGTTCCTTTTTTTCGGCTGGTGGAACGATTCCATTCTTCTCGATGTGCTCTACAATCTTCTGTTTGGTTTCCTTAACGTCCGACGCGGATACGTAGCGATAGCCATTCTGAGAAAAAAATAGTTGCGAAATGAACGGGTTTTAAAACGTTCGGTTCTGAAATGGGTTTTATTTCGAAATCAAGGTCCGTCGAAAAGAAGTATTTGAACTAAAATAAAAAGCCCTACAGTACCGGCAAAAAGTGTTTTGATTCCACCATTCGTAAAACCTGTAATAGAAGGGCCCCTACACTGTCTAGATTGAGCTCGGTTATCTCAATTCTCGTACAAGATATCGAAAAAGGATAAACTGAAAAAAATGTTTTTGATATCATGATGAACAATGTATCAGTTAAACAACTTTCACACAGCTTTGACAGGTACCGAGAAAAATGAGCTCAAAGTTAAAAGCTAAGGGGCTCTTTTATTAAAGGTTTTACGAAAAATTTATTTAGTTTGAAAAAGGTTTTAGCATAGGTTTTAGCCGAGCATAGGTTTTAGCCAAATCATTTTAGCATAGGTTTTAGCCAAGTATTATTGATATTGGCTGAAACGGTATGTTTTCCTTATCCGAAATCAGGAAAATGATGCCAAGTTCAAAATTTGAGCTCTCTTTTGCATTCAAAGGCCGTTTCAGACCCTACAATGCCTTAGTACCTTAGGCATGATTTGCGGATCAACAGCGGACTAACGACGGATCAACGGCGGACTGACGACGGACCAACAAATTACCAACGGTGGACTAACGATGGACCAACAATAAACCACCAACGGACCAACGACGGACTAAAAATGGACCACCAACGGACCAACGACGGACTATAAATGGACCACCAACGGACCACCAATGGACCACCAACGGACTAACAGCGGACCAACGACGGACCAACGACGGACCTTTTTATAGGGACACCAAAAAGGCAGTGAACCTTACTATGTACAGTCCAGCACTACCGAAAATCCAAAACACAAACCTTAACATTGTCATATAGAGCTGGTGATGGTGGAATCGGAGCTGCTGGCGATAGAATCGGAGCTGGTGGAGGTGGAATCGGTGCTGGTGGAGGTGAAATCGGAACTAGTGGAGGTGAAATCGGGGCTGGTGGAGGTGGAATCGGAGCTGGTAGAAGTGGAATCGGAGCTGCTGGCGATAGAATCGGAGCTGGTGGAGGTGGAATCGGAGCTGCTG